AGCCTCATCATTTCCTGGGCTTTAGCCCCATTTGGGGAGTGTGATCCCCACAGCCCTTGTCAGCCAGGTGCTGATGTGATAAACCCTATTTTACAGGGGAGAAAATCAAACCACAGGGGAGTTAGGTACTTGTCTGAGACCACAGCTTAACCTGTGTTGGGATCCCCCACTCCACATAGTACTCTTATATTGCCCTCAAAAAATATGTTGCAAGGGCTCAGCGCCTGTAGTACAGTGGTTACGGCGCCAGCCACATACACCAAGAGTGGCAGGTTCAAACCCGTCCCAGGCCGGCTAAACAATTACAACAAAAAAAATAGCTGAGCATTGTGGTGGGTGCCTGTAGTCCCAGCTACTTGGGAGGCTGTGGCAAGAGAGGTTGCTGTGAGCTGTGATGTCACAACACTCTACTGAGGGCTACATAGTGAGACTCTGTCTCAAAAAAAAGTAAAAAAATATGTTGAATATGTTGCAGGAAAGGAAGGAGAGTGGCCGGGCTTCAGGTGTTCCAGCTCCGGGCTCCCTCCCGGCTAAAGCTTTTTTTTTTTTTTTTTTTTTTTTTTGCAGTTTTTGGCTGGGGCTGGGTTTGAAACCACCCCTTCCGGCATATGGGGCTGGCGCCCTACCCTTTTGAGCCACAGGCACCACCCTCAGCTAAAGCTTTGATGGGAAATTGAGGCAGATGTCTTCTCCCTGGTCTGCTCCTTCCCAACCTAGACAGATGAAGTTTTCTTTTTAAAGCCTTCTGGAAAACGAGATTCCCTTCCTTCCCCCTCAGACTCCCAGTCTCCTATTAGGAATAGGAAAGTTCATCATTGGAAAGTTCTTCCTTCAGTCTAACCTCCAGACGGAAGACAGAGAGTGGGTGTGGAGTAGGCTTCTGTTTCAGAGAGGGGTAGTCTTGGTCCCTAAAACTGGGGTTTAATTCTCTAACCATGACAGTCAGGGCTGGCCAATCACCAGCCTCAATGGGATAGCTTAAATTATAGAGGACCAAGTTAGAAAAAAAGAAAAAAAAATCACCCAACTCCCAGCACTGGTACTGCAGCTGATAATTAATTATCTGCTGTTTGTGTGTGTTGGTAGGGGCTCCCCCAGTTTCACACTGGTCAGCGTGTGCAGGGTGACCAAGGGGGTGGCAAACGAATTGGTATCAGGTGAAGACATTTTGTGGGAACCGTCCAGACCTTTCTCGACTTCATCTCCCCCTTTCCACACCGCCACTCCCCTCCACTTGAAGGAGTTGCCCTCTCTTGCCCACCACCCCTCCCCACACCCTCTGGGAGGGAGGAGAGAGGGAATGATTAGCACAGGGCATTGTCCCCGGATAATGGGCCCCAGCTGCTGCATGAAAGAAGCGACAAAGGCCTGGCGGCTCCACTCGCATTATCCCCTCGTTAAATCTCTGTTATTAGATTAGATGCAAAATGTATTGATTCGGAGGCTGGGGGAGGGGGAGAATCTGGCTGGTGAATGCTGAGCCACACCTCTCTGAGCTCTTCCCCCTCCTCTACCCTACCAGGCAACTGTTCCTCCTCTGTTTCCTCTTAAGGGTATCTACCCTAAGCGCATATCCTGGCCTCTGAGCTCAGCCACTCTGCCTGGACCATGAGTATCCACTACTGAGAGGCGTCCCTGAGAGCTTTGAACTTGGGTTTCCTTAGGAGGAATGACAGCTCCCTCCTGGGCAGCAGCTGACTCCATGGCTTTGAAGCAGGGCTGGTCATAGGCTCACAGAGGGCTGCAGGCCTTACACTGGGCACTTTCAATGCCGTCGATAGAATCTTTTTAGTAGAAACGACAGCTTTGGAAAGCAGGGTCGATGGGAAAAGGAGATGAGAACTGGGAGTATTTGTAAGGGAATAGAGAAGGCTACAGGAGAGGAGAGGCGGGAGGAATAGAATCGGCAGGTTTCTCAGAAACACTTAGGAAGACATGAGTGTTTCTGATCTTCTTTCTCTGCTCAGCAAAGCATGAGAGGCAAAGAGCTGAAGTGGGGAGAGGAGGGGAGGAAGCAGGTTCTGGAAGGTATAACAGGTGGAAGGGATGTTCTCATACCCCTGAAAGAGCCAAGGCCAAGACTGGTACAGATGGGCAGGAGTTAGTGTACAGGGCATTCTCTGGCCCTGAGCCTCAGTTTCCCATCTCTGGGCAGCACAACCCAGATGCTAGATCAACGAACTGATTGGCTGTAGCTACTGTAGCAGAAATGTTACATGTAGCGGCTCTTTCTCAAGGTGGTTAATTGGCTGCCCTGATGCTGGGCTCTGTCCCCCATTGATTGTGGGTGAAGGGTGGAGTGGGGAAGATGGAGAATCAATGGCGTGATTAGTGTCTTACTAGCTCTTTGGTTGGACACTTCGCCAATAGCCACCCACTTACTGACCAGTGGTGCATTCAGTGCCAGACTGGCCACGTTTTTATCACTCTGTCCTGAGACATGAGAATCACCTAACAGCGTGGCTTAAGCAAATCCTAGTGGAATGGGGCTTTGGTTCTAAGATAAAGCTCCAGGGTGGCACCTGTGGCTCAAAGGAGTAGGGCACCAGCTCCATATGCTGGAGGTAGCAGGTTCAAACCCAGCCCCCACCAGAAACTACAAAAAAAAAAAAATAATAATAATAAATAAGGCAAGGCTCGGTATGAGGGCTGTGGGGTCCATCCTGAGAGAGGAGTGGTAAGTGGTCCCCACTGTTAGCTCAGGAGGCAACAATTATAAGTGGGAACCAACCCTCAACCCCCAAATATCTTGCTTTTTGCTGAGAAATCCTGATCCCTACCCATCAATACACCAAAAAATAATATTAAATTCATAACTAATCTCTGATAACTAGTATCAAAAATAGCTAGTGGGAAACCTCATTCCCCATTCACCTTAGGAAAAATGGGCCAGCTGGACAGGGGGTTCTTTCTGCATGTTGGGGCATTAGGGGGAGCAAAATCTGTAAGAAGCTAAACCAGATAAGCACCCTGCCTTAGCCTCTAGGTTCTTTCAGACGTGAATCTCCAAGGTCCCATGGTTCTGCCCTGTATCAAGCCTACTGGATGGTTTATGAACTATTATAGAATTGCAGCATTTGGGGCCAAGGAAATGTGTAGAATGTAGTATGTCGTTACATACTATATGCAAGGCTGTCCAACCTGTGGCCCACGGGCCACATGCAGATTATTAAGGACAAGTTTGTTTAATTGTGGTGTCAGATATTGTGAAAAGTATATAGCCCCTTCCTTTTGCTCATCAACTTTCATTAGTGTTTGTGTATTTTCTTTCTTTTTTTTGCTTTTAGAATTTATTTGTTCTTTTTTTCCCAAATTAATATGAGGGTACGATTTTTAGGTTACATTGTTCTCACTTCCAGGGTGAAGTTCCATTTGTAGAAGAGCCCCTCACCCAGGGGGCGTGTTATCCACCCTCACAATGTGCACATTAGGTGAGGTCCCACCTCCTGCCCTCCCTCCTTCTGCCAAACATCCTCCCCTCCCCCTTCCCTCTACCCCCAAACTGGACTTCATTAGTGTTTTATTATTCTTATGAGCATGTAATTATTTATATATTGATTTCATGTTAGTATAGAGTACATTGGATATTTATTTTTCCATTCTTTTGATACTTTACTAAGAAAGATGTATTTCAGCTCCATCCAGGTAAAGGTAAAAGATATAGTCTCCATCTTTTTGTGTATTTTCTGTGTCTACCGAGACAACTTTTATTCTTTGAACGTGTGGCAGCAAAGAAAACAGGTTGGACACCCCTGCTAGAGTCTTGTAATTGACTAGCCTGGAGCAACTGCGGAGATGGTGAACATGTTAGAACCCCTCCCAGATACCCCCTTTTTGGGTCCATTCCCTTTAGCCTGGCAGGACTTAATCCCTCTCTACCATGCCTTCCTCAGAGTGACGGGCAGCCCCAGAACAGGGGAAGGATAAGGTCTTTGGTCTGGAGACCAATGAGACTGAAAAAACCAGAGAAAGCCTCATTTGTAGAGTGTAGATGCTCAGCCAAGTCGCCCTTGGTGGGATCCAAATGCTTGTTAGGAGGATGGTGCAATGGAGTTGGGGTGTTCCTCGGCTTGCCCTGATGTTAGGGAGAGGGAGCCAGGATATGAGACATAAGACCAAAGACCATTCCCCTGGCTGACTCCCTCATGATCCTGCTTTCTGGTGGATTCACCAGGGGCTGACTGCTGAAATCTTCCAAAGGAGATAGTAAATCCAAGCCTTGGCTTTCTTGGTATTTTCCAAACACCAAACCTGCTGGTGCTGACCATGGTGCTGAAGTTCTTGTCCCGCATTGCAAGATACTCCAGCAGACAGGATTTGCTCCCAGCTGCCCTGAGAGATCGTCAGCCTGGAGTGGTAGCAGGACTGTGGGCCCTTCCAGCATCTTTCCAGGGGGTTGCAGAACGGAGCCTTCTCTGCCCTTCTCTCTTTGCTGAGTGTTGAAGACCAGGACATACCTAAATCCTACCTCCTATTGTATCTTCTGCGTAACAGCTACCATCTGGTCACCTCCCAGATCCCTGGGCCAGAAAATACCAAACAACTGAATCTACAGATAATTCCTAAATCTCATTTCTACCAGTAACTTCAAACCCCTTTGTCTGTCCATCTGATCTTTCTCCAAAGCTGCTGACAAATGGTCCAGAAGAGCGTTTAGGGCTTAATTGCCTTTTCTTTTTTCTTTTTCTTTTTCTTGAGACAGCGTCCTATATGTCACCCTTGGTAGAGTGCCGTGGCATTAACTGCATTTTCTTGCCCCCACCATCTGATGGAGAATGAGAGCTCAGAGAGGTGGTCACAAATGAGGCCCAGAAGGAGGCCTTAGGGATTGAATAAACCTGGTGCAGAGTTATCAGGCCCGACTGTGGTAAAGAGTTGATTTTAATTTCAACCTAAACACAAAGTGGGGGCAGATGAGCAGAATTCCAAAGTGCCTCATTCAGGAATGGGGAAATCAGGCTTCATCCATAGATAAGTAAAGTCCAGGAGAGCTTGGGTTTCCCCTGATCTGAGATCGCATGTTTTAAAGCCACAATGAGCAGTTGGAGGCTGGAAAAGGATGGAAGGGCCTTGAGCATAAAGTTTTTGGGAGGAGTAGGGTTCAGCATTGCTGAGATGACTTGACATTGGAAACAGGGGATGGGACTCTATCTGTGTTTTGAAGATGTCCTTGGCATCTCTGGAGCCCTGAAGGACCTAAGTGGAACTCACCCATCCCTGTCCTAACCAGCCCCATGCTTTCGTCCCTGGCTGGGCTGTATCCTCTTAAGAATACTGCCAAATGGACCAGAGCATGACCAGGGTGACACTGTAGGCCAGCACCACCAGCAGGTAGATTCGGAAGAGCAGCTTGTCCAGCACGGAGCCCACCTGCAGCCAGTCCCGGGCCACCTCTCGGATCTCATCCCGCTTCTCCAAGAAGCGCCGGATGGAGGACAATTCCTGCAGCAGCCCTGTCACGGCCAGTGAGGCCTCCTGTGGGGGTGGGGCGGGGCTGCATTTGCCCCTAGGGTTCTTCTCCAAGTCCAGAGATCCACCCAAATGGCCACAGTGGTTTTCCGTGGCTGAAAGAGGGGCAGAGCATTGGTGAGGGACAGGGGCAGCAGGTGACCTGAACACCATCCTTTTTGTTTCTGTGGCCTGCAGAATTTTTTTTTTAATCTCACTTTGTCACCTTCCATAGAGTGCTGTGATGTCACAACTCACAGCAACCTCAAATTCTTGGGCTTAAGCGATTCTCTTGCCTCAGCCTCCCGAGTAGCTGGGACTATAGGTGCCCACCATAATGCCTGGCTATTTTTTGGTTGCAGTTGTCATCGCTGTTTAGCAGGCCCTGGCTGGGCTCAAACCCGCCAGCTGCGGTATATGTGGCTGGCACCCTACTCACTGAACTATGGGTGCCAAGCCAGAAATTTTTGTTAGGAACAACTTCAGACATAAAACATAGAGAGAATCACTTACATATTTGCAAACCTACCATGCAACTTAAACTAATTTTAAAAGGCAATATGGGCTTGGCGCCTGTGGCTCAAACGCCTAAGGCGCCAGCCACATACACCTAAGGTGGCGGGTTTGAATCCAAACCAGGCCCGCCAAACAACAATGATGGCTGCAACTAAAAAATAGCCAGGCATTGTGGCGGGCGCCTGTGGTCCCAGCTACTTGGGAGG